GAGAGGCGGGCCCCCCCCCCCCCGCCGCCTGCCTCCACTGCAGTTTTACAGGTTTAATAATCCGCGAAGCCAGTCGAGTATTAAAAATACAAACCCACCCACTCCTCCCCGTGCCGCCCTGTCTGGCCCATCATGTCTCGCTGGGCAGCTGTGCCCTGTCTGGTCCATCATGTCTCGCTGGGCAGCTGTGGGGGCAGCGGGGGGGTTGAGGGGTGGGCAGGAAGGGGGGGACAGTGCCCAGTGACACTGAGCAGCCCTGTGGTTGCTGCCCCCAGTCCTGGGCCTTGGGGCATGCAGGTTGGTCCTCCGAGGGTCTAAAGGTCTAGGGGCAGAGAAGCCCTCAGGGCTCCAGAAATCGGTCGGACACGAAGTCGAAGTCCCGAAAGGCGGCCTGCTGGCGGGCACTGAGGCAGCTGGGGGACGCGGGCGGCGTCAGGGCAGGCGGCAGTCCGGTGAACTCGCCCTCGAAGTAGCGCAGGTCTGCAGGGCCACAGAGGGTGGGCACGAACGGGGGCCGGACGGAGCGGGCGAGCAGGGCCTGCCAGTCGGTGGTCTGGGGCAAGGGCAGAGTGCCTGAGACGACAGCACTGCGGCCCCCGCGGGCCCCGCCCACGGCAGGGCACGACACTCACCCTGAAGAAAGGCTGGCTCTTGATCTCCTCGGCGTCCTGCTTGCCTGCTCCCAGCCGCTTCTCCGGGCACTTCTGAAGGAGCTGGGCACAGGACAGGTGCACACTTAGGGCACTCAGCCCCAGCACTCCCGTCCCCAGGTATCACGAGAGCCAGGCCAAGGGCCCTATGGATGCCCATGGCTGGGAGCACACACGCAGTGGGCAGTTGTCAGCCGGCCAGGACCCCATACCTTCTGAATGAGCTCGCGCCCCTGCACTGACAGAAAGCCAGGGTACGGGGCCTCCGCGTTGACAATGCACTCGAACACCTCCTCCTCGGTGTCCCCTGGGAATGGGCACTGTGGAGATCAGGGCTCAGCAGGGGCGTGGGCCAGCCCATCCCAACCCAGAAGCCCCAGCTGCATGGCCAGCACACACCTCGCCCACCAGCATCTCGTAGAGTAGTACGCCCAGCCCCCACCAGTCCACGGCCCGTGTGTACGCCTCCTGGGTCAGCACTTCAGGGGCCAGGAACTCGGGGGTGCCACAAAAGGTGCTTGTCCGGTCCCCAAAGCCGATCCCTGCAAGCAAGCATCCACACCAGCACCTGCCTGGTGGGTCTTGTCCAGTCACCTCTTTTTTTAATTTTTTATTATTTATTTATTTATTTATTTGGGGGGAGAGGTTTTTCACTATAGGGCGCGTGCACTCGCCAGACAGAGAGAGACATAGAGACAGAAAGCGAGAAATCACCCCCCAGGGGACGCCGCAATCCCTTCTCCTCCATTCTCCTCTCGGGATCTTGGGCATGCACGCACACACGCCCGGCGTGAGTTCTAAGCCACCGGGTCCAGGATGTGAACCGCGGTCGACTACGTGGGAGTCCAGCGACATAGCCATTACGCTAACTGCTGGTTCCTTCTAGTCACCTCTTGACGGTAAGAATCCGTAGCCAGGGACCAGGAGATGGCATAATGGTTACGTCACTGGACTCCCACAGGGTTCAAATCCCAGACCTGGGAGTTCAAAACTCACCAGGCACATATGTGTGCGTGCCCAAGATCCGCAGAGGAGAATGGAGAAGGAATTGTGGTATGGTCATCCCCCCAGAGGGTGATTTCTCACTTTCTGTCTCTCTGTCTCTGTCTCTCTGACAAGCACACACACCCTATAGCAAAAGATCTGCAGCCAGACTTGGATCCCGGGTACCCGAGCCTGCGCCAGGCCTGCCCCACAGCCCACGAGCTGAGATGGTGCAGGTGGCATTTAACTGCAGGAGCAAGCTGAGTCTTGGCCGCGCCCACACCTAGGTCACAAGGCAATGGCCTCCCCAGCCCCAACCCCAAGCTCTCTTCACCACATGGAAGCGGAGAAGGAAGGGCCAGTGTGCCCAGCTGAGCCCTGGAAGAGGGCCAGGTGGGGAACACGCCCCCGTGAGTGAGTCTTCCTGGAGGTGCCGCAAGCCCACCCCACGGCCAGCCTACAGAACAGGGACCCTAGAAAGGTGGCCCCACCTTCCTTGCACAGCCCGAAGTCTGCGATCTTCAGGAAGCCCTGGGCATCCAGGAGAAGGTTATCCAACTTCAGGTCCCTGATGGCGGGTGGGCAGGTCAGAGGGTCTAGGAGGGGGCCCAGGGACAGGAGCGTCTTGCCTGGGAGCAGCCCAGGAAAAGGACAGTATTCCCTTCACCCACCTCCCGCCTGGGGCAGAAGTCACCTGTAAATGATCTTCTTCTCATGTAGGAACTGCAACCCCAGGGTCACGCAGGC